CAACATGTGTGTCCAGACACGAGTCAGTTGGGCAGTAGGCTGGCCTTTTCGTGTGTCCACCTAGGCCAGGATGGGGCCTCTAGGGCATGCGGCTTGCCCTGCAGGCAGCCCGGGTCCTCTCTGCCCCTTCAGGGAGCCATCTCACCTGGAGGCCCAGTCACCATGGAAGCAGGAGACCTGGAACCTCAGGATACCAGCTGAAAGTCCTCCCAGGCCATCTAATTCCCCTTATTGCTTTAGCCACCAGGGAGTTTGGGGTCTGATGTTAGTTTTACATATAGCAGCTGTGTGGGCTTTTCTTTCTCTCTTGTACGCATACATCGGAGTCCCTCAGCCTACTAGTTTAATTCATTGATTTTTTGTTCGTTGTAAAGTACACTCTTCCTTTTCACTGTGTGTGGTTCCCTGAAGGAGCATCCAGCCATTGGTTGTGAACACAAATAAACATGAACATAAATCCCAAACCAAAGGCTCTCACTTAATCCAGGCCCCCTCATTCTCCAGATGAGGAAACTGAAGCCTAGCAGGGCTGTGACTTCCTGTCCTGAGGTCAGTGACCAAGAGACTAGGCAATTCTAGGGTGTGGCTGGACAGAGGCCAAGGAAAGGTGGGTTTGGGTCTGAATGTCTCTACCCCTTCTCCGCATGGACCCCAGGTGGCTTTGTGATGCTGCCTGGCAGATTTCTTCCCAGCAAGGGGGCTCACTCTTGGGCTTCTAGGATTGTGCATCATCAGAAGTGGGTAGGAGAGGATCTCTGGCCCCAGCTCCCTGGGGTAACATCTTGTTAATGGAATCTCTCCCCAGGAGCTAGGTAGGAAGTGGTGGCTCAGGGACCCCAGTGCTGTGTGAACAGCCCTCAGAGGGTGCTGGTGAAGAGGAGCTGGGGGTCTCGGGGGCTGGCACCTTGTGCTAGCCGGGTGAGTGAGGTAGACCTGGGCCGTCTCTCAGGCAGCCTGGGTGGTGGAGGACCATTTTGGGGTCCCTTTTCCTGACATTCCTGCACTAGGTGTGGGCCTCAGTCGGCATCAGAATCCGAATGACCCACTTCCTGCCTGCTCATCCATCAGGGCAGAGTCTCTGTGAATCTCAGGCCCCTCCTCCTAAAATCGAGATAATGGAAGGACCAGCATCTGCTGGGCACTTACTATGTGACAAGCGAGTTCTCGGTGTTTAACGAGGACGACTGACTCACTTAACCCTCGCGACAGTTCTGAGGGAGATGCCTTCTCATCCCCGGTTTTGTTGGTGGTGTTGTGAGGTGCTATCGCGTCTGTAGGGACCTTGTGTGACAGAATAGAATGATCCCCTAAGGTTTTCTACACTGTCCTCTTGATGGGTGCCGTTTAGAGTGAGGAACCCCAGGAACACAGAGAGGTTAAGTAACTTGTTTAGGGTTACCCAACGGGTACTCTCACCCCATCTCCTTGCTCTGTGGGATGAGAGTGTTACGAGTACCTGTACCCGCTGAACACCTGAAGACGACCAGCCCAGGACTTGAGCCATAGGGGTGCTCAGCTAATTGCAGACATACCTCCTCCCCTTCAGTCTCCACCTCCAACCCAACCCGAGGCCACCTCTGCCCAGGTAGGGAATCTCAGAGATTGGCCTCAAGACCAGAGATGGCACTGGACAGGTCTCCCATAACACACCATCCTGTCCCCCGGCCCCAATGCCCTGAGCCCCTGCAGGCAAGAGAAGGCCACCTCCCGTCTTGTCCCAGCTGGACCAGAGCTGTCTGTGACAGGCTGTTCTCAAGTCTGGGCCAGGAGGCCTGTGTGGGCTTCAGCAGCCATCGGCTGGACCCTGCTCCCAGGCCAAGCCCCAGGAGGCTTGGGTGTTCCAACAGCAGCCCCCCCACCCAAGGCCCGTGTAGGCCATGCCAGGACCTTTGTTTGCTCACCCATCCCTTTCTGCTCAGCTGGTGTGACCACGAGACCGCACCAGACCCTGCTTTCCAGAATCATAACTCACTCTGCCCAAAAGTTCTAGAATGCCCCCCCCAGGTGCCCTGTTAACACAACTGCCCCCACCCCATCACACACACAGACCCTGAGTGTGCAGAGCCCTTCAGTTGCGCACATCTGATATATGGGGAAGCTGCAGGTCCGGGAGGAGGAGAGGAAGGGGGTCCCCTGAGTGGTCACAGAAGGACTGGACTAGAGCTCAACTTGGCACGCGGGGAGGGTATGAAGTAAGAAGCGGGGAAGGAGCACTGTCCCCTGCCCCTTGGAACACATGGCAGGGAAGAAGCTGGCCTGAGCAGGCTGCTTTGATTGCGTCCTTGGCCATTGATGGAGAGGTACCTGGGGCAGGAGCAAGGCTGCCCTGGGGGAGAGATTGGGGTGGGCAGTGTGGGTGGCCCACCACTCTGCTGAACTGGGCTTGGGAGGCTTAGGAGTACCAGAGGAGGGTGGGCACTCAAGGAGGGCTTCCAAGAGGTGGTGCCATCTTGACTGGCCTGAGGGAGGTGGTAGGATTTTCCTAGGCAGAGGAACTGGGGTAGGTAAAGCATGGGACCTTCAGGAGGAAGTGTTTTTAGGAAAGCCAGGGATCTGGGGAGGGGCAAAGGATGGCCAGAAAGAATCTGTGATGGCCCACTTACACCTGCCTGGGCTCGGGGCACAGCTGGGGCATAGCGAACCCCCACAGCATTTCTGCTCCTCCTTACTGGTTAGGGGAGGAGAACAGAGGCAGGGTTACTGGGCTAGACCAGGAAGTAGCCTTTGCCTGCCCCCCCCCCAAACATTTCCTCCAGATGAAATCACCTCCCAGCAGGGAAACAGACCCCCATTGTGACTGGCTGGGGTCTCAGAGAAAGAACGCCTTTCAGGCCCTTAAAAATAGCAGCCCAGAGATTTACAGATCTCAGGCTGTGGGCCCCCGGGCCCTGCTACCCCTGCCCCAGCCCTTGACCTGCTGGTGACCAGCCTGAGAATCTGTGAGATCCTGGGGGGAGGGGGAACAGCACTCCACCTGAGGGCTCACTGTGTACCTCTCTCACCCCCTGCCCCTCCCCAGTCGGGGCCTCTGCACTTTTCATGATGTCTTTCTCCAGAACCTCAGGAGCAAGGACAATTCCCATTATACAGGTGTGAAAACTGAGGCACAGCTAGTGGGTCATGCCTTTAGTTGAAGACTGCAGGGGTGGTGCTACCTGTTGGCCTCTGTCTGGTCACCCCCAGACATGGACTAGGCTACATAGAATCTGGTACAGGCATGCAGAGGAGGGACAGGGGCTGCAGTGTGAGTTTGGGGGTGTGCAGTGAAGGTTCCCAGCTGAAGGAGGTTAGCCATTCTGCACAGCAGGAGATGAGCCATGCGGATGGGGTGGTTAGGAACCCCCTTTCACAGGTTGTACCTGTGGATGAAATGTCCTGGGAATGGACAGGGCAGCACAGGTGGTCCTTCCCGTTTCTCCATCTCCTGGTCTCCTGGTCAGAGCAGGGTGTGGAACTACAGCACCTGTCAGGACCCTACTGGCCCCTGACAGCCCCCTGAGCCCCACCCCTCCACCTCCTTACCAGGTGAGCCCAGGAAAAGGGAGGGGCTGGAGGAAACCCCTGTCATCTGCTGCTCCCTGACCTCACCTGTCCCATTCAGTCAGCTACTTGTCACAGCCCAGCCCCTCCCGTCACCCCCCCCAGCCCTCCTTCTCTGGCCTCCCTCACTCCTCATCCTTCTCCCAGCTTCCCGGCATCTGAGCTCCTCCCGACTCCTCCTCAGAGAGCGAGGGGGATGATGTCACTTCCTGAGGGTGGGGGCAGGAATAGGCACGACCCCGGCAGACAAGCCCGCCTGTCCGCCCAGCCGGCCAGCCGGGCAGGGCTGCACGCAGTGGCCGCACAAGGACAGGGAGCCGTTTGGTATCAGACATGTTGGTTGGCCTTCAGGCCCCATGCCCCTTCGTCCTCCACAAGGGCCGTGCCCACCGGCCGAGCAAGACTTGGCCACTTCCTTCCCGAGTGATGCCAGTCTCCTCAGACCCACGATTTCCCCGGAGCCGTTACCCGGGAGAGGAGGACCTGCCGCCCGCCCCTGGACCAGGTGCCATGTAAGCCTCTGCTGGCTTGGGGGCAGTTGCCCACCAGCAGGGGGCCCCGCCTCCCGAAGCAGAGCTGCCCTGGAACTCTCGGGGACCACCCCCCTATGAAGGAGCCTCCTGGCTTGCAGCCACGTGGTTTCAGGGCTCTAAGTGGGGTGGGGGGGGCCCTCCCTGAGCCAGGCTGGAGCTCATTGGAATTTAGCTGCTCCAGAGAGTTTGGAGTTGGGGTCTGCAGGCTGCTGGCTCAGGTGGGCGTGGGTCCCTGGAGCCCGGATTCCCTGCAGGGAGTCCCCACTGCCCTTCCAGCTGGATGGGGTGGACAGTACCCCCAGCCACCCTCCAGGACACAGAGCTGTGATGGGGAGGGACTCCAGGCAAGTTAGAGCCTGGAGACCTCATGCACTAGTTCTGTGCTGAGCACCTACTGTATGTTGGGCCCTCCCCACCTCCCATGTTCTGCCAGTCCAGCCTTCAGCCATAGATAGACATGTCCTTGTGTTCATCTTCCCCAAGGTCTTCAGCCATTCACCTGCCTGGCTCAGCCCTGGTCTGGGAAGTTACACCCCACCCCACAAGGCCTGTGTGCACTGGACCGGGTCTCCTTATAGAAGGACAGTATAGGGCTAGGGGCTCGGGGCACTGGTCCTACGGAGGTGGCAGGGGTAAGCCCGGTCGTTAGTGGAGATGGGCAGTTACTCCGGGCAGAAGTTGGCCCCAAGGGGTCAGTACCAATCTTGGAGACAAAAGACTGATTTGAAGGTCTGCCTGCTGGAATCCTTTGTGTTGGCTTTGCAGAGAGGAGGGTCTGGAAATGCAGGAGGGGGTCAGCTTTTCCAGTAGCCTGGACACCCCCTGACCATGGGGCCAGGACCTGTGGCCTGGGTATGCAGCTGGGTGGCCAGCAACAGGGCCCTCTGCCTTCTCCCAGGAGGTGAGCACCAGGCCCGCTGAGCCTCCGCAGAGCCGCCAGCCATGCCCGGGATCGTGGTGTTCCGGAGGCGCTGGTCTGTGGGCAGCGATGACCTCGTCCTGCCGGCCATTTTCCTCTTCCTCCTGCACACCACCTGGTGAGACCTGGGCTTGGGGAGAAAGGGATGGGTGGTCTCCCTGCCACACCTGAGTCCTGTCTCCAATTCCCAGAGGAAGCACCACCCCCGGAGATGCTGGGTGGACACGTTGCTGGTACTGCCCACTGCTGATAGCAGGGCTCCCTGCCCAGACCCTCAGGGGCACTTGATGTCAGCAGGGCAGAGGTCTCACAGGAGGGACGGTGGGCTGTGTCCCCACAGGTTTGTGATTCTGTCTGTGGTGCTCTTTGGTCTGGTCTACAACCCGCACGAGGCCTGCTCCCTGAACCTGGTGGACCACGGCCGCGGCTACCTGGGCATCCTTCTGAGCTGCATGATCGCTGAGCTGGCCATCATCTGGCTGAGCATGCGTGGGGGCATCCTCTACACAGAGCCCCGCGACTCCATGCAGTATGTGCTCTACGTGCGCCTGGGTAAGGGTCTCCTCCACGCCCATGCATCCATTCCCCCAGTGCATGCTGGGCACTGGCTGGGCCCCAGGGCACCACCTTCACACACTCACAGTCTACACCAGGACTGGAGCAGCCGTGGCCTGTGAGCCACAGTCGGCCCACCATCTGTTTTTATAAATAAAGTTTTATGTAACATCCTCACTCATTTGCATACTTACATATGGCTGCTTTTGCCTGCCGCGACAGAGTTGAGTAATTGTGGCAGAAAACAAGTGGCCCTCAGAGTCTAACACTCTCTTACTCCCATTTTACAGATGAGGAGGCAAAGGCTCCATGAGACTAAGTCACTTATCTAAGATACATCTGAGTCCAGAGTTCCCTCATAGTTGTGAAATCCTGGGAGGTGGGTGGGCCGTGTGGCCCTGCGGGCGGGTGATAGGACTCACTGCCTCCCACCCTGCAGCTAAGCTGGCTGGGCAGCCATGCCCGGGGCCCTTCCCTGACTGGCTGCGGTGGCTGTCCCTCAGTCGGGCCCTGTTCTCCTTACAGCCATCCTGGTGATCGAATTCATCTATGCCATCGTGGGCATTGTCTGGCTCACCCAGTACTACACCTCCTGCAATGACCTCACCGCCAAGAACGTCACCCTCGGTACGTCAGGTCACTGTAGAGGTCAGAGGAAAGCACATCTGGGAGGGTGAGGCCCACCACCTTGGTCCTGTGGCCGTTTGTCCACCTCTGGGGGCCCTGGATGGGGAGGGCAGCAGCCAAGGCCTGTCCTCCAAACATCACAAGACCACCCTAGACACCCGCTTTGCTGCCTTCCCCGTGCTGCTAAGGGTGGTCTCAGGAGCAAGAGGACAACCACATGGCTGGAGACTAGGATGAAGATGAGGCCATTTCTTCAGGACATAACCAAGTCTCCTGATAAGGGGGTTGGAGGCAGAGAGGGTGTGGACGTGCCTCCCAACACCTCCATCTCTTCCTCTCCACGATTGCTCCCACAGGAATGGTCGTCTGTAACTGGGTGGTCATCCTTAGCGTCTGTATTACCGTCCTCTGCGTCTTTGATCCCACGGGCCGCACCTTCGTCAAGCTGAGAGCCACCAAGAGGAGACAGCGTAACCTGAGGACCTACAACCTACGGTCAGTTGGCCTGGTGGGCGGGCAAGTCCCTGTTCCCCACTTCCAAACTGCATTTCAACCAAAGGCTCCACCACTCGACACCTCAGTTTCCTTATCTGCAAGGTAGGACTCATAACAGGTCTTAGTTTGTCGTGGCACTTGAAGGAGGTGACGCATGCAGACTGGTTAACTTGGTGGTAACGTCTGCTAAGTAAATCAAAGGCATTGCCATTAACAACAACTCCAGTCTTCAGTCGGAGACGCGGATAAGCTGAGCCAAGTGCATCCTACTTACCCTAGGCTCCATAATACGGACGAGGAAATTTAGGCACAGAGAGGTTGGGTGACTTGCCTGATGTTACATACATAGCTAGAAAAAGGTGAGAACCTTGCCCAGCTACGCTGGATTTGGAGTCTCGGTCTTAACCATCAGACTAGAATGAAGGGGTCACTCACTGCCGTTGAGTTGGTTCCAAGTCACAGTGACCCCATAGGACAGAATAGAGCTGACCCAGAGGGTCTCGAAGGCTGTCGATCTATATGGGAGCAGCCGGCGGTGGAGCCGCTGGTGGATGTAAACCACCCACCTTTAGGTTAGCAGCTGAATGTTTAGCCACTGTGCCACGAGGACACCTGCCTGCTATAGGGGTTGGAAGAGGTTAATCAAGGAAGGCTTCCTGGAGGTGGTGAGCTTGGGTCCATGTTTCGAGAAGAGGTCTGCTCTGGGATGGGAGGGAAAACCAAGACCAACGTACAGGGAGGGCCCTTGAGTACTAACTATGAATGAAGCTCTGCTCTGAGCCCTAGACCTTAACTGTTGACTGGTGTCAGGTTAGCCCTTGACTCATGGTAATTCTAGACCCAATGGGACAAAACACTCCCGGGCCCTGCACCATCCCCATGATGGGGTGGGGGTCAGACCATTGTGATCTATAATGGTTTCATCGGCTGGTTTCAGAAGCTGATCTCCAGGGCTTTCTTCCTAGTACCTCTCTCTTAGTCTAGAAACTCTGCTGAAACCTGTTCAACATCCTAGCAACACGCAGACAATGGGGGCTGCTCAGAAGGTGTGCTGACCGGGAATGGAACCCACGTCTCCTCTTTACACAATAAGGGGTCCATATGTTGTCCTAGGAAACCCTATACAGGGTCGCACTGGGTCAGAACCAACTCGATGGCACTTAACAACAAATGTTGTGGCGCTATAGAATCAGCACTGGGCCGCAAGGTCAGTGTTTTAAAGCCACCAGCTGCTCCTCAGAAACCCTACACAGGGTCGCTGTGACTCTGAACTGACTCAATAGCATTAAAACAATAAGACAAACATCATCCTTTCACCAGCCCTTTGTCGGATGAGGAATCCAAGTGTCTCATCTCAAGCCCAGTAGGCCCTCACTCTTCTGTCCAGAGCAGCTGGGTCAGGAGGCCAGGCCCCAAAGTCCAGTAGGAGTGCTCTCCACCCCACCCTCCTGCACCTCCATGTCAGGCTCCCCTCAGACCAGGCAGGACCACACCTGTGCCCACGTCAGCCCCTCCGTGCCCCAAATGCCAGGCGCCAGCCCACGATGCTCCCACCAGCCCAGCTAGCCACCACCCCCTTTTGCTCACTCTCATCACACGCCCCCACCTGACCTGCTTTCTGGGCTCCCTGGGCCCAGGAGAAACCGCCTCCCTCCCAGACTTTCAGTAATTACTTTGGGGGCCCAGGGCAGCCAGCGCCTTTGCCGCTGTCATTTTAAGGAGAACACTTACCTACAGTGTGCCGACCATGTGAGTGGGCAAAAGGCCTCGTAACCTAGTGAGGTTGCTCGAGCTTTTCAGGTGGGCTTGGGAGGGGGTGGGTTGGGCATCCTGGTCACAGGCTTGGTTAAGGCTAACCCACTCACCCCTTACCCCCTGCTCCAAAGCTAACAAGCAGTTTTTTCCAACAGGGACATTGTCAAACCAGCAACTTGAAAGTTTTGCCACACTAAGGGGTGGTTTTCATTTTTGAACGTGAAGGAACATTTAAATCTTTGGCCCTTTCTCCTCCCAGGGAAGTCTGGTGGGTTGGGGAGAATGACTCTCATCTCCACGCCTGGGAACCTTGCCTTCAGATCTCTGCAAAGCGTGTCTGCCAGTTCCCACAAACTGCTTAAACCATCTGCCCCCTGGTGTGCATAATGGGTACTGCAATTAGGAAGTTCAAGGAGGCGTGAAAGCCCTATGAGCTTGTGAAGGGTTCAAGAACACGATGCTCAGAGACTGTCAGTAGTGGGTCATTGGTTTAGGATATGTAAAGGTGGCCAAGTCCCTAGGACAGGCAGCTCCCAGAAACAGCAATTCCCTGTTATCCTTTCTGTTTTGAACTTTTTATTGTGGTTAGGGTGAGTTTATGGAGCACATTAGTTTTCTATCCAACCCACTTTGGTCCCTGATGTTAGTTGCAGTCCTCTCCATATAACAGTGTTCTTCCTGATTCCTCCCTGGAATCCCCATTTCTATTTGTCCTTCTTTCCTGCCCCTTCCTGCCTTCTGAACTTTGTTTTAGGGCAAATGCTGCCCTTTGGGATTCGTAGGTTGATTATACTGAGCCTCACATTCCTGTCTGATGTTATAATTCACAGCGTTGTCCGTTGCTTGGCTGAAAGTTGGTCCTTAGGATGGGTTCAGCTCTAGGCTTGAAGGGTGTCTGAGGGCCACAGTCCCAGGGGTCCCACCCATCTCTGCCGGATCTGTTTTACGATTTTGAATTTTGGTCTACTTTTGTTTTTCTCCCCTTCTGTCCAGCACCTTCTATAATGGCTGATCAGAACAGTTGGTAGATAGTGGGGGCACCATCTAGTTCTTCTGGTCTCTGGGCTCTCTCCTAACCCCCTGCTGACTGGGAGGTCCCCTGACTTTTCTTCTGCTTGTGTCTCCTGTGGGGTCAGGGTTGGAAGATGAGCAGGCTCTTTAGCCTCAAAGAGCCCGTCTGTCACTCTGGATGGATGCTGAGTGCCTTGAATGCATTTGAGGGCCACCCTTTCCTTCCTTTGCTTTCAAATGCTCAAGAGCAAAGATGTCAGTTTGAGGACTAAGGTAGCCTGACACAAGCCATGGTATTTTCAATAACCTCTTATGCATGTGAGAATTGGACAGTGAATAAGGAAGACCGTAGAAGAAATGATGCACTTGAGTTATGGAGTTGGAGAAGAATATTAAAGGTACCACGGACTGCCAAAAGAACAAACAGATCTGTGTTGGAAGAAGTGCAGCCTGATGTTCCTTAGAAGCCAAGATGACCAGACTTTGTCTCTCATACTTTGGACACATTAGCAGGAAAGACCAGTCCCTTGAGAAGGACATCATGCTTGGCAAAGTGGAAGGTCAGCAAAAAAGAGGGAGACCCCCAACGAGATGGATTGGCCAAGTGACAACAACAATGGGCTCAAGTGTAGCAGCGATTGTGAGGCTGGCTCAGGCCTGGGCGGTGGTTCGTTCTCTTGTACACAGGGTCGCTGTGAGTCGGAACCGACTTGACGGCACTTTAGCAGAAAGCTTGCCTCCCCGGGCTGACTACCTGGCGTCAGGCTCTCCAGGGGCCAGCGAGAGGGCACAGCCGTGAGAACCGCCTCACTTTGGACATTTGTACACTTAGTGTTGGCTCTGTTGTCTGTGCTCAACGTGCAGACTTCTGGGCACCCAGCATTGGGGCTGGGCCAGGGGCTGAGAGTGGACAGAGGACAGCTGTAACAGGTTAGAGGAATTGAGAGTCTGAGATTGCTTCAGATGTGAAGTAGGTCTGTCTGAGGATCTCCTGTAGGCCTGGGGGCAAGCGGGCAGAGACGTCCTGCACCCAGCCCACCTCTCCTGGGCAGAGACATCCTGCACCCAGCCCACCTCTCCTGGGCAGAGACGTCCTGCACCGAGCCCACCTCTCCCGGGCAGAGACGCCCGGCACCCAACCCACCTCTCCCGGGCAGAGATGCCCGGCACCCAGCCCACCTCTCCC